CCCCAAAACCCCAAAACCCCATAAAATCCTGATTAATAAAAATTTGACAAGTAAGAATATAATCTTAAGTATAGGATAAAGTTTATAGTTATTTAAGGTGTAGACTATACTGAGTCACCTATTTATATATTATTCACACATCTTTCTTAGGCTTATCAGACTTTCTCTTCATGGTACTTTTTCTACCAATCTTTCTCTTTATCTTTCTAGTATCATAGTAAATGTAGAGCATAGCCATTCTGATTGTACTTACATCATCTACTATCATATCTATAGAGTTCTTAAGAGTCTCAAAATCAGCATCTCTATCATTGATATTTCTGATTTAGGTTGACACTTTTTGGAACTCTTGCATATGTGTTCTATAGTTTCTTTGCTATGCAATAATTTCTTGTTCATCTCTTTCTTCAGGTTCTTTGCGTCTTGCTAATTTCAATCTATAGGCTGCTCCAAGACACTTTGCAGCTTCTAATCTAAGATCTTCCTTGTATAATAGTCTAGCTAAAAGCATGAATGCTTTTTTCTCTGGGGAATCAAACTCTAGAATATTATTCAAGGCGACAACGAAAAGTGATACATAAAAAGCACCCCAAGAGGCAATAACGATACCAATAAGTCTTCCCATATGAGATTTTGGATACACATCACCATAACCAATAGTGAGCATAGTAATCATCATATTCCACATAGCAGTGGTGATATGTTAAAATGAAGCTGGGTTGACATGTCTCTCAAATATTCTAAGTTGGTAACTGAAGGTAATCAAAGTAACAGGCATTGTACTTGTTAGAATAATCCAAGAACTGTTTTTCATGATGCATTTAAGAGCAAATATATAGTTTGCATCGGTTCCATAAATATTACAGACTCTCTAAGCACGAGGATCAGTGTAAAATGAGTTGTTTAGGGCAACTTTGAATACGTAGATCAATCTGACAAACATCATTAAACAAAGCAAGAAGTCATTCCATTAGAATCCAATACCAATACTAAAATCATTTGCTTCTTCATAGTAAATTTCATTGTGTAATGATGGATAAGGTTAAATAGCCATAGATAAAATTTCGAAAATCATCCATTTGAATATGCCAGTATTAAAGATATTATCTAGTTCTGAATAAACTAACTTTTATCTCATCCAACTTATGTATAGTAACTTGCTACCAATGATATTCAGCACTATAAGTTTATTTAAAGATAGTATTACTGAGGAAAAAGGTTGAGCAATCACAAATGATTTCCATGACATTGATCCAGTCATCACTCTATCCATTGTCATTAAACGAAGCGCACATTTCAGAAGCAACAATTGCACAGCCAACACCAAGCATTGCGAAATAGAACGAAATGTATTCAGAAATTTTGGTT